TTCCTGCTCCACCTGCCACACAGCTTGGCAGAGGCCGGGTGCCGGAGCCTCCAGGCTGCCGCCTTTCTCCCCCAGGTGAGTATCCCAGAGCTTGCAGTGTGCTCTGCACAGCCAGATGCAGTGTGGAGGAGGCAGTTTGAGCTGCTTGGTGGTGGTTTTTTCAATCCGTTCCACGGGGGTTAGAGCAGCATGTTGGAAATGTGTGATCTGGGTAACATGAGACTTAAATCTTAGGGAAACTCTCAATGGTTGCGAGTTCCTGGAAGCAATGTCCCCTCAGAGGGCTGAAGCTGTCTGAGAAGCCTGGGAACATGTGAACCGTTTTATGCAGCTGTATAAAGGCTGCACACCTGGGATTCCCCGTGCGGGAAATCACTGGCAGTCCAGTGTGCTCTTGCCCTGGGGCAAGTGGTGCCTTTCACCACTTCTATGTTCCATGAGGGTGAGCACTGCTGAGCCCTTGCTTCAGGGGGCCCTGGCCACCTGCCAAGCTGCAGTTGGCATCTGCAGTGGGGCACAAGTGTCCGAGTGGCTGTGCCCTTGTGCCTGAGGGCCCTGCGAGAAAGGCTGTGCCGATGGGATGCACACCCTGGTGTCCACATGGTGATGAGAGTCCTGAGACTGTGGACGGATCCTGCTGCCTCCTGGGCTCTCTTCCCTCCCCGGTGATGGCCTGAATGCATGTGAGGGGTTTCCTCTGCTTTTGACTCAGGAGTTTGACATTGCTGGTTGTGTGGCTGATGATTTAAGATCCGAGTTAGGGAAGCTTCTTATCTCAGTCCTTAGCTGGAGGGTGGGATGGGGTGGGGCGGGGTGTGTGTTCAGGGGCCATGGTCCAGAGGAGGCCTCTGTGGGTGCCCTCCTGGGCCCCAAGGTCCGTACTCCCACTTCAGACCCCAGGTTCCAGCTGTTTGGATGCTGCCTGAGGGCTGCTGAGAGCTCCATCTGTGGACCAGACGTGGGGCCTGCCGGCCAGTCTGTCTCAGCACAGGGCCATGTGCTACCAGCTTCCAGGTCACTGCCGTCCACTGCCCTCAATTCCTTTTTACTAAGGTTCACTGGTGAGGACAGAGTCGTAGCACACGGGGTCCCCACCACAAAGCCTGGGAGCCAAGGAGCCCTGGCCACCACCGCCGCACCATGTTCTCTGCCCCTCACGTGCCCCGCTGACACCCTGGCCCCCACAGAGTGACCACCTGCTGCTTCATGACAACCCTCCTGGCCCGTTGTTTTAGGGCTCTGACCTAGGTTCTTGCAGCATGGCTGCTGCTTCAGTCTGGAGAGGTGTGTGGCGCACAAGCAGGTGTGTTGCACTGTGCGATCAGGAGCGGAGAGGGAGGCAGAGGTGGTTGTCGCTCCCACTCGCGGGCAGGCATGGCAGTGCCACTGCATCCACACGTGCTGGGGTTTGATGGTGGTGCAGAAGCCAGTGCTCTTCGTGTGCTATGAGTCCTCGGGTGGGGACACTGGACACAGCGAGCTCAGGCAGTGTCAGAACCATTCGACTGGATGACGGTGTGTGAGGCCTCAGCACCACGCATCCCTAGCCAGGTCAAGCTCTTCCCGCCCAGAGACAGCTCTGTCCCTGCCTTGGCCACCACCTCACCTGGACGCTGGTTTCCCTTACACCTGGTGCCAAGCACTGCACTGCTGAGCTCTGGCGCGAAGTCATGACTCGCTGTTGCTATGTCTCCTGCTCCTGAGCAGGAACCCAAACTGCGTCTCTACAGAAGAGGCCAGTGTTCTGTGGATCTTGGAGTGCCCTTGTTCACGCACCAGTGAAGTTTCCTAAGGGCTAGGTATCAATTGTTGGGTCCTGGAGGAGTTTATATGGGGTCAACTCGTTCGATGTGTAAGATTTAGAGATTTCCTCGAGTTAGGTGGGAAATCATTATTGTACTGGCAGGCCTGGTACAGCAAGAAATAGGATTTTCATAGTTTCCTCTAAACCCTGTACCTATTTGGATTTTTACTTATAGTGATGATGTTTTATATATAAGAAGTTAATGAAGGATATGAATGCTAATTTAGTTAAGGGTACGCGGGGAGTGGTGGTGCCTGTAGTTCCAGCACTCTGGAGGCTGAGGCAGGAGGATTGCTGCAAGTTTGAGGCCATCCTGGGAACTTTAGCAAGTTCAAGACCAGCTGGGTCCACACAGGAAGACCTGGTTCAAAAAACCAACCAAAGAAACAAACTAAGGGGAGAAGCAGAAGTGGTTAGGGGAAGCAGCTACAGGTGGAGGAGAGAGCCAGGCTGTGGGACTCACTGCCCAGGGCAGAAGTTTCTCAGGGGTCACGCAGGGCAGGCTGTGGTGGCCTGGACCCCAGAAGGCCTGGGCCACAGGGCTTGGAGAGCAGGGGGCTGAGGTGGGCCACGTGGGGCAGCCCAGGGTGCCCGCTCAGTGCAGGGTGACGGAGCTGGCTGGCAGGTTCGGAGGCCAGGACTTGGGTGAGAGCCACTCACCGTGCAGCCAGGATCTCCGCTCTTTCCCTCAGCTGGAACAAAGCAAGAGCACCCGAGCCTGGGGCGGGTGGACTCCGAGGTGGGCGCAGGCCTGGCGCGTGCTGCTGATGCAGACCTGGTGACAGGTGGGCCAGTGTGGCCTCTCTGGCTGCTGCCTGCCAGCGAGCCAAGGGTGCCTTTCACAGTGGCAGCACTGTGGCTTTGTGTGAGCTCTGCAGGGGCAAACACACCTTTCAGTAACCTTTGCTGGCAGGTTTTCCTTGTATAAATACACCACAGTGAGGAGAGAGCCTGGGAGTCAGAAACATAACATTTTCAACATTTCGAGTCTCTCCATCCTTCCCTAATTACGTTTTGTGAACTGCTTCACACACACACACACACACACACACACACACACACACACACCACACACACACACACACACACACACACACACGTGCACACATGCACACATGGATTCACTGTACGGTGCCGTGTCTGTCCTGCAATCTGGCTCTTTAGCTTCTCGCTGGCTTTTCACACCTTCGGGGTCCATCATGCATCTCATTTTAGTTCCTTGGACTTTGTAACAAATGCTTATGCAGGATTCCTGCCCAAGAAGGCCCTGGGGACTGTCGGGGGGTGAGTTACCCCAGAAATCCCAGCTCCAGCAGAGTGGGACAGGAAAGACAGGGAAGGGAGCTGAGGTGCCAGGGAAGGTCGCAGAGACCTTGCCCAGCAGCCCGAATGCCCGCTGCTGAGGCTTTGGCCGGAAAGCTTAGTGGCGCACTATGGTCCTGACGGCACAAGCTGATGTCCTAGAGGCTGAACTAGAGATGTGTGCTAGAAATCTACTCAGAGGAAAACCCAGGAGGCTGAGCGAGGCCCTCTTCTTCCACAGGTATAGAAACTACCACTGCCTGTAACATGCTGTCCACTGCAGTGGATTTTTAAAAGGCTTAAATTCTTCTGTTATTTTCTCAATTTTCAACATTTTATAAAATAATAACACTAAACAGTCATTTCCTATGTTGTTTACATTTTCTAGCCATTGTCTCTTTGCTTGTGAGAACTTTAGGTTTCAAAGGTTTTCAGAATCCTTAAAGCACCAAATTAGTGCCTGAGGTTTGTGGAGTGAATACATGTGAGTTTCCATGGCTCTTTACCGTCTGTGCATTGTTGTTGGTTACCTCATGTGAGCAGTGTGCTGTGGCCCGTGGATGCCTGACCCCACATCACCCGTACTGTCACCCCCCTCCTGCCCATTTGTGGAGCACTGTGAGCGGAATCCAGCAAGAATAAAGGTCTCCTGACTCTGCTTTCTCAAATGCGTTTTGCAATGGGAATGTGTGTGTTTCTGAAAGCCTTGTGTCCTTTCACTGTTGTTTCTCTCTGTGGACTACTTGTCAGGACCCAGCTTATGTTTCCTTAAGTATCACAAGTCCTGCCAGCAATTTTGTTAATTTCGTGATATTCTGTCTCTCTCTCTCTGTCTCTCTCTCTCCCTCTTTTCCTTCCTTCCTTCCTTCCTTCCTTCCTTCCTTCCTTCCTTCCTTCCTTCCTTCCTTGTAGTACTGGTGATTAAGCCCAAGGTCTTTGCACTGAGCCAATTCCCAGCTGTTTAATTATTTTTGTTTCAGGACAGGGCCTACATTGCTCATTTTTGCCCATGGAGGGCTGGAACTTGTACCTTCCTGCCTCAGCCTCCCAGAGCTGCAGGCTTATAAGTGTGCACCACCGTGCACCAGGACAACTCTGTTTTATACGGGAGGAAGCGGAGGGCGAGAGAGGCATGTGGCTCCCTGCAGCCGCAGAGCTGGTGTTTAAGTCCAGATCTGACCTTGGAACATGTCTCCTTGATGGAGGGTCCTAGCAGCTGCAGTTAGTGAGTTGTAGAGTAGACGGGGTTAGGGCGGGATGGTTTTGGGGGGAGCACTCCTAGTGCCGGGGCTTGCTTAGTTTCTTGCCTCTGGGCCTCATTTGTGGACAGGACTCTGCCCTCCTTGGGGGTCTGTGAGGATAGCACGAGAGGGCAAAGGTGGAGGCTTGTGCGGCTCCATGAGACGACCCCCACGACAAGTCACCCTGTGACGAAGTGGACACCATGAGGGCTGGTGCTGCAGGTGCCCAAGCGCTTGGACACACCTTCAGAATCGAAATGCTCCTCTCCTTCACCACCACCCCACCCCCGGATACGGGACCGCAGTGGCCCTGCTGCGTCTCCCTTGCAGGTCTTTGGGGGTCAGGGTCCCTTTCGCTGCTGGCAGCACTGTGACTGGTCGATGCTTTGTGGCCCTCCTGTGTTTGACTTGCTCTCGCTGCCAGCCTCCTTGCAGGGGTCTCGCTGGCAGGCCTGGAGCTTGGACTGGGCTCCTCGCTGTGTGCGGTGTGGGAGGAGGACCGTGGGCAGAAGGCATGGACAAAGGGAGACAGAGGTTTCTCTGTACCCCAGGGCACTGACCAGCTGACCAGAGCCTGCTGGAAATCTTGCGTGAGGAATCAGTACATTTCGTTGACTGAAACTTCCTTTTTTTCTCCTTAACATTGGTCTTAGGATGCAGAATAGAAAACTGTGACTCTTGCTTCAGCAAAGACTTTTGTACCAAGTGCAAGGTCGGCTTTTACCTGCACAGAGGCCGTTGCTTTGAAGAGTGTCCGGACGGCTTTGCGCCCTCGGATGACTCCATGGACTGTGTGGGTGAGTAGCTCCCCGTGGGTCTCACGCTGCAGCCTTCCCCTCTGCCGCTTGAAAATATGGAGGCTGGATGCACCCAAATCGGAAAGCAATGCTTTCTCTTGTTAGATACTGAGATTTATTTTGTTGCTTTTCTAATTCCTTAGGCATCAAGATGATGCATAATCTCATACAACGTCTTGGTTCAAAATTTGCTAATTCTGTTTTCTAAATGAGCCCACTTAAGTACCGATAAAGTTTATCATCTGGGTACTTTGAGATGTGCTCAAAGGTGAATGGATAAATTAAAAAGTCACCACATAACAGCACGTTGCCATTAATCCCTCTCAAGGTTCCCTCCCTCACGTCAAACACTTACCCTGGTCTTAGCCTGCTCTGAAGCCGCTCTGGAGGGTTCCATCCTGAGTGTCTTCAGTCGCACTGTTGCTGCCTCTGTGTTCTGAATCTTTTCAAAGATTCACCATGCCAGATCCAGTGAGTGAGGCATGACACAGTGTCGTGTTTCTGTTGGACAGAAATTTTCAGAAACAATTACTTAGTGCAGTGTGATCCAAAGGTGTGGTGTTTAAATAAAACATTTGTTGCAACAAAGCACGCATTGCCATTTATGCCCCTCAGAATGCTGCCTCTGCTTCGGCCACATTTACTCCATCAGTCCCAGCAGTGAACCTTCTCTATGCTGCACCCAGTGTTGTGTTTTTATGACTACACGTTTGTGGTGCGCAGAGACTGCATTCCTCAGGGAGCGGTCTGGTTGCGATCACATCTCAGTTCTCTGTGCATCCCCTCTCCTCCCCTCCCTGTTTCCTGGGCACCTTCCGCTTGTAAAAGATCTCTCTCCCTGTTCCTATCACCCGTCTTGTCTTTAGTTCTTTATTTATATTTTGGGTTTCTCCTCTAAGGGAAGCCATGTGATATTTAAACTTATGTGTCTGGTTGTATTTTTAATTTAAACATTCACTATATTTTTAAATTCACTGGCAAATCTGTCTCTTGTTATCTTAATAAATTAGTAATAATTCTTAGGAGAAAAAATATTTTGCTTAGGAGATGAGGAGGAACAAAAATTTTTAAGCAGTGCCGTGTTAATTAGCCATTCTATTGCTTATGGGTAGAAATGAATAAGTTATGGAGCTTCTTGCTTGTCTATTTGTATAAAAAATCAGCTGGAAGAAATTTTTGTGCAAATATATTTTGTAGACAATTGAATCAATGTTTCAAATCATTTTTACTGTTAAAATGTAAATTTAGATTCCTAGAATATATTACTTAATATATACACACTAGTTGTGAATAGTTAGGATACACACCTTATGCTTTTCTCACATTAATATTTGTAAACTGCTATGAGATTTTTAAAGCACATTCAACAGGCCAAAGCCCAGCAGTCAAGGCTGCGTCTTGGTGAATGTCTGAAGCTGGTGACAGCTGTAACGCCAGGTGCCCGCTGCCTACCCTGATGTTAGCTAGCTTGCTGTACCTCTGATCTGATGCACCAGAGACCTATCTATGTATTGTCAGTTAGACTTCCCATCTCTCTAAATGGAGAAGATGAAATGAAAATTGATATTTTCTTTCCTGCAGAAATTTGCTTGGAAAATCTGTACTTTCACATTTGAAAGCTTGCAGAGATGAGTGCATTTAAACGTGACGTTTTGGGGAGCTGTGTGTGCCCACATGTGAATTAATGCGTGCATGCGTGCAGACAACTCTGTTAAAAGTAGTAAACTTGGGAAAAGAGCAGGTGTTGAAGGCCACATTTGCCTTTGATAGGCACCTGATGTGTGATACGAACGTCCCCTGGAAATGCCCGTAAGAGCTTCACAGGCACATTGCAAACAGAGTCCTGGGATTTCCTGAGTAAAGTCTTGGTGACTCTGAAAAGTCTCAGAGCAGCTGCAGTCCCACCACGTGTTGGGCTGCATCCACCCAGCTGTGTGACAAGTTTCTCGGGGAGGCTGAGGAGAGCGCTAAACCTGCACATCTTTCCTTCTCCTCCCCGCTCCGGGTGGTAAGATGCAGGCCTGCTCTTCCCCCAAGAGTATGGAGAGGCCTTGCATCCAGGAGAGACAGACGTCTCCAGTGTAAGCCACGAATGCAGAGGAAGAAACACACGCTGGTTTCCAGGCACCTGTTGGGAGAACCACAAAATGCAAAACCAGCCCTCCATCTTTGCCCCTTCCAGAATCATATGAACCCATGGTGGGCTTGGGAGCACCATGCAGAGGTAGCCTGTGAAGTATGCTGGCCACAGAGTGAGCATGGGCTCTGCTCTCAGGGTCTCAGGGTTGTCAAGGCAGCCAGGGGCACCCTTGGCAAAGTGAGCTCAGACAGTGGGTTCCACAGCTTTCTAATCACAAACCAGCACTGGCTTGTGCCCCACAAGGACCCGGTGGCAAGTGTCTGGGCAGAGCGTGTGACTTCACGTGGGGCTATGCAGGTGGACAGGGCGGGAGACACTGCTGGAGGGGGCGATGCCTCCGAGCACAGTACCAACTTGTTATCTGTGTTTGTGTTTTCTAATGTTTACTAGAAGGATGTGAAGTTGGCCACTGGAGCGAATGGGGAACATGTAGCAGAAATAATCGCACATGTGGATTTAAATGGGGCCTGGAAACCAGAACACGACAAATTGTTAAAAAGCCAGCCAAAGACACGATCCCCTGTCCGACCATCGCGGAGTCCCGGCGATGCAAGATGGCCACGCGGCACTGTCCGGGAGGTAGGTCTGTCACCACTCACTGTCTGCTGGCTGGTCCTTCTCTTCTTCCCAGGAAAAACCGCCAATCCCTGGAGCAACGGAACAATTGCCAGATAGGAGGTAACATTCTATTTCCTAGAAACAAATGCATTACTTGTCAAGAATATAAAGCAAGCACTTCATCCGCTTTTGTGATACCTTAAAATAACTCACAATCCACTGCAAACAGCCTTTCTAAAATGAGAGCTCTGAAAGAAAGTTCATGTGTGTGTGGTTTGTTTTGTTTCTTTCAAATGTACCATAAAAACGAGCTGTTGTGAAATCAGGTCTCTGCAAGTGTTGCTTTCTGAGGGAAGTGGCTGGCCAGCGTTTGGTGAAGAAGAGTTTAGATTAGAATGGTTTGTGGAGCTGTAAGACCGTCTGCATCGTTCCTAGTTGAAGATGACCACTTCAAATGAACTTGCCCAAACCCTGGGAGGAGTAAACATTGTCCTAATGTTACCACAATTAGCGGTTCCCTTTGTTTGGATAATAATTTGCAGAAAACAGCTACTGGGCTGCGCTGTGTTGCTCCAGGCTGCTGTGGCAATCGGCTGATTTGTAGTTGTCCTTCTGTAATCACAGGCTCAGGCCCTTTGGGTGAGGAGAAGGTGAAGGCGGCCTCCTGGGGCTGTGAAAGCTGTGGTCCCTGTCGGGTCACCGGCATAAGCCAGGTTGCACAGGTTACCTTGGGATTTCCCAGTGCATAAAACAGGAAAGCCGAAGAGAAAGTTGTTTGGAAAATTGACTTTAAAAGAGTCCAAGCCTTTTCTTCCTTTATTCTGCTGGTGCATGCTGTTCAGTTCTCCCGCTCAGCCCAGAGAGGACATGCATCTGCCTTCCACGGGTTTCTGTCCCTGTCACACTGGCCCCCGGAGAGCCTGTGGTCCGTGGAGAAAGTCGAGCCTTCAGGACGGCAGTGGCCTTAGAGGACAAGGAGATCCGGTCTGGAAGCTGCTGTTGAGAAAGCAGCTTCTCCTGAGTTAGTTTTGCTTTTCCTGATTGGTTTCTGAAACAAAGTGTTCTGGGTCTGCTTTTCAGTAACAAGGGTGGTATTTTTTTTCAGTCAAAATATTAAAAAATATTTTCTTTTTTTTAATTTAAAGGAAAAAAACCAAAACAGGTAAAGGGTACAAGTAATACAGAATTAAAAAAAAAAAGGTAAGAAATCATTAGTTAATAGATTACATATTGTTATCTTAGAAATAGTTGTTCAAGTTACAGGATTAAAGCATACAAACTGGACATTCAAACAGTGAGACTGCAAACAGTTGTGTTCAATGATCCAACAAAATCTCAGTAATATGGTCAGCTATCTAAACACACTTGTATCCTTTAGAGCACTTTTTTTCCTCTCTTTTTTACAACAAAATTTATACATTTTGTGTTTTATTACTCCCATAGTTCTTATTACTTTTTTTATTGGAAGAGAATAAAACCAAATATGACAAAACAAAGCAGTCAGTCAAAACAAAGGATAGACATAGCACATGATATAAAAACAAAATACAAGGTAATCAATAATGGTTGCCAAAATGCCTCTTGCTTCCTTAAAAAGAATTGCCTGTATCATTAGGTATAATAAAATTGAACAAAGCAGTACAGAAAACAAGACGTCGTAATAGCTAGTGCTGATTTAATATCATCTTGTTTTGAAGTCCCACCAAACTGTTGCTCTTCTGTCTCCATTGGTTTTATCATGTTGTATCTTACTGGATTTTATTATATGTGATATTATAAATAAAATTTTTATAGGCAAAGAGATAATATAGAAGCCATTGTTTGTTTTCCGTTAGCTGGTTCTAAATACCCTATAATGCTTTCATCCACTTGAATGGTTTCACACTGTCTTGATATGTTTGGTGCTATAGTATATGAAGTTATATTCAAATATTTCAAGGAAAAAGATACTATGGTAACTACTATTAAGTCAGGTTATTGGTGGTGAAGCACTAGGTTGCTGAAACTGTCATGCTTTGACCTGTATTGTTACGCTGTTATGCCCTCTTTTATCTCTATCTCCCCCTTATTCATAAAAATTTATTTTTTTATTATTTTTTTAAGTAAAGGAAAAAAATAAAACAATTAGCAGGATATATTATAATAACTTTTTTTATTTCCTATTAACTTGATTAGAAAATATTTTCTTACAAAGCTAATAAACCACTTCTTGAATAGCTGCGAGCACTTGACCTGTCACCTCCTGCCTAAACCAGGCCCTGATATGCTCGGGTACTGGGTGCACAGGCTCTCTCTGTTGCCTGTTGTGTATGCTGTGGCCCCTCCCGCCCACCTTCAGCCTGTGGTTTATGTTCGTAGCAAAAATTAATGCAGAATGCGCCTGTGACCACTGTGCTTCTGTGTAACCAGAGCCAACACGCGTTCCGTTCCCTCTCCTCCGTCTCTGTTTGACCAGCCGTCTTGATTGAGGCTTTTCTGGATGTCTGCAGGCTGCTGACCGAAATGCTCGCTGTGTCGTAACCTTTACACTGCACACTGCAGGCTCCCAGAGCACACCTGACCCCCTGGCCGTGTACACTGCGCCCCAGTGGCTCTTGCATGATTTGCTAGTGATTCCCTTTGACAAGGGAACCAGCAGTGGGCCCCGGGTTTTGTTTAGGTTTTACTAAATTTTTTGTATTAGGAAAACCCAGCTATTGCTCTAAACCTTGGATCTATATTTTCATAAAATGAATTTTTATGACCTTCAAATGAAGCAGATTTTAAAGTTACATTGGAATTTTTTGTTGTTTTACTTAAAGGGAAATAAAATTAATTATTGATAGAAATGGCAAATTACTTTGCAATAAAATAGCTTTCATTTTGGAATGAATGTCAGGAATAAAACCTACACACTTCCTTCTGAAACTTGAGCAGCAGCGGGAAACCAGCCTAACTGGCCGGAGTCGCCCTCCCTTGCCTCGGGTGGGAGCGAGCAGGCCCCTCCCCCGCGGGTCACGGTGATAAACGGAAGAACAGGGAAGAAAACCACTTTATCCCTTTTTACATCTTGATTTGATTTCAGTGATCTGCTTTGACAAACCATGCAAAAATGTAAGTCATAACCAGGTTGGGAATACAGGCATTTTTCAGATCTCTCCAACATGTGTACGGGTTTTTCTCCTGTTGGAGGCGGTCTTAACCTGATTGCGTTCACATGCCGCCTTAACCACCTTCACACTCCAGCCCTGCGCATTAGAAGCAGCTGCTTTCCATTACGGAGCGGCTAGGCCAGGGGTCAGTGTGGCGAGAGTCCCTAGATGTGTGAGATGCTACTCGGGTGGAGACTGCTCAAAGTAAGGAAAAGGTGACTTTATAAGTTAAATTGAAAAAATAAAACGGAGTCACGTTGTAGCCTTTCCACCGTAACTATTATATGCTTATCTGCTTACAAAAAGAATATCTGTGAATGTCTAAGCAGTGGATTGATTTACACACCAAGTGCTGTGTTCTCCCCTCAACTTTCCTTTCCGCTCTCTCACGTTCTCCTGCACTTCGGAGGAAGCCTGTGTGGTTTCCAGGGCGATTGCAGCTCACTCCTTGACAGCCTGGTCTGGGGTCTGGTCCTGCACTCTGTCAGCGCCTTATTTCTTCAATCCCTGGCTGGCCCCTTAACCTTTTGGGGTCCCTGTTTCCTCCTTCATCAAACTAGGTGATTGGCCTGGAGATCGCTAAGCCCAGTGGAGCTGGAAAATCTAGATGACCTCACGCAAAGCTGTTCTTGATAGACCTTCTCGGGCATGCTTCTCTCCTCAGTGCAAAGATGACCCTGTTGGAGCTGATGTATCCCACTCACGGAGCACCTGGAGCTTAACCAGAGGGGATCTAAGTCTGGACCACTCGGGGCAGCAGGTGGTACCTCTACAGAGAGAGCTAAACCTGCTGCTATCATGTATTGAATGACAAATGGAAAAACACACTCCTGGCTGCCAAGGTAGACATTGGAAGAAAGCTGCGTCAGGACCAATGTCACCTGCCTATGTGCACCATCTCCTGGCTCCCCACCGGCCTGGTGAACACTGACCTCAGCACGTCATGATTTCTTCTCTGCTGGGGACTCCTCGTGACTTGGATGGCAACCCTGGTGACAGTTTGGTTAATTTAGCCTGTCAGGTGTTGGCTGAGTACCATAGTGGACTGCTGGTAGATGAACGTGGGATTTCTCATGTAACCCCTCACAGTCTTTCGTAGAGGGGTTAATCAACAAAAAGAAACAAATGGGCGAGGGAAAGAAATTTGTGCAGAGACAGGGCTGCTGGGAAAATAAGGGCACCTGAGGGCAGGAGCTTGTGTGCGGCCGAGCGTAATGTCTCATTAGGCTGCTTGGGGCCCCGTGGCTTTCCTGTGGTCAGACATCTGAGTGGAGGAGAGCCTGAGGAGGGAAGACAGGAAGGTCCTGCTGCTGTGGACATGGCAGACCCTTCCGTGACTGTCCTCGATGCTCCCACCGCGTTTGGAGAAGGAAGAATTATGTCCAGGGAGGGCGACTCTGGCAGGTCCACGGCCACCGTAGGATGTCACCAGTGGTGGTCCTGGTGTGACTGTCATGGAAGCCCAGGCTGTCCTGTGCCTCCCTGGTTCCTTAAGACTAGATCGAAGGTGAAGCCACAGTTGTTCTCTGGCGAGGTCCCCAACTTTGAGCCGTTTTTCCCGCCACTGGAGATGGGCGCACTGTCCCTGCGACACTGCTGTTCCACTCTGTTCATCTGGGAAGAGCTGGTTTCACTGCGACCTGCCACTGGGTTTGCTCTCCTCCAGCACCCTGTCAAGCACACCCCCCCGCCCCCGGTAACTTTGCTATCACTGCTCTCTTAGAGTGGGGAAGCGTGGCTGAGGGACTGTCCTTTCCATCCTGTCCCTGGATGCTTGGCCTCCACACACAGGCCTGGGAGACAATCGGCACCCCCACATCTCCTGGCTCTGGGCCTGGGATGGGTGTTTTAACTCATTCCAGCAGCCGGCCTGTGAATCTGTGCGATGCTCTGACGTGTGCCGGCCCGCGTCCTACCTTTCCACCTGAGCTCAGGGCTGCAGCACGCACAGCAGTTCCGCTGTTAGGAATAAGGCGGGGCAATTGCTTGAGCACAGGTCATAATTCCTTAGCATTATGCAAGCATTGCAATATAAAATCTGCACTATTTCAATTGGAAAACAACTCCTTCCCTTTAGGAAACATAACCTGATCCTTATCAACTATTTCTTTTTCCTCCTGAAGTGGTTCTTAACTTGGAAGGAAACAAAAGAAAATGCTATTTAGCAACTTAGAACCTTAATCTCTGCAAACATCTACTTTCTAAATGGCAGTAGTAATCAGATCCCCTTATGCTGGGTTTTCTGTGTATAAACTGACAGCACATGTGGACCAGGTAGTAGGTAACAGAACTAAAGATGGTTGTAGATTGTGTTGGATTAAACCAAGAGCAGGAAATAGGCACATTTTCAGTAGGATAGGGTCAAGAAAATATGCCTTGGACATATGTTCTTTATTTCTCCACATTTTGTTTACATTGAGTCGCAATTTCTGTGGTCTGCTTTATACATGCCAGCCTGGCGAGTCATTTGGAAGAGAGGATAAGGGCAAACCTCCTTCCTTTGGAGACCTGTGGACTCTGTCAAGAATGTCAGTGCTGCGAAGCAGCTACAGTGGAATTTTGTGGCCCCTCAGATTCCTGCACCAAATGCTTTACTGCATCCCTGTGACACATCAGTGATGTGCATTAGTTGTTTTTAATAAAGCATACACTATTTTTCATGGACTGTGGGTACAGGGAAGCTAGCTGTGATTTTCATTTTTCAGTGATCATAAGTAGGGCTGTTAATGTATGATTATTCATAAGTTGTTAACAAAGGTGCAGTGCCCGTAGATGTCTCACCGTACAGAGTCTGCACTTCCAACCCCACGGCCCAGCAGAGTCCTGGGAAGATCCCTCCTGCTCCCTGTCCCCTGTCTCCCTGGTGTTTAGCGTTCATTCGTTCCCAGGAAATGGGTAGAGGGTGACTGTTGGTCTCTTAGTGGCGGACATAGTAGAGTTTTTGTTTGTTGATGTTGTTTTTAAGCAGTGATTTCTCTTGGGCTTGCTGATTCCCTGTGCAGAGAAGCAGGCTGGGGGAGCGGGGTGTGGAGTTGGCTCCTGAGCAGGCACAGCTTGGTGTGTCTGGGCGGAGACAGGATGAAGACTCGGACAGGACGCTCCTGCCTGTGCCGAGCTCTCCCAGCCCAAGCCTGAGGACTGGTTGTGGAGACAGTGTCTTTCCCGGTTCATTTTGAGCCGGCTTGGTGCCATCCTTGCTGGCCAGAAAGCCCCAGAGGGCGGGAGAAGCTGTGCCTCTGCTGTGTTCTCCAAGCTCTGTCTGGAGTCTTCACCAGCTCCCTGTGATTACAGCTGGGCCAGCATGTCCTGCTCCCTTTTATGGAACTGTAAAAGGAATTTCTCAACTAGATGTTGTCACCCAAGGCCCAAAGTCCTATGGAGAAATGAGGCAAAAACGGGAAAATTCAGAGGGGGCCTTTCTTTCATGAATTCCTCAGCAGTAAGCTACCTGATCTTAATGTAAGGCATATAAAACAGTTTTTACAGCACTGCAAAAATAAAATCAGCTTTAATAGAATACACATGGTATCTTTGTTGGCTCCTCTACCATGTTACCAGAGATCGCTTTTCCCGCCCTCCCACAATAAGAAAGGGTTAAGTGCAAATCCCTGATGGTTTCTGAAAACAACTTTTTCTCCACACGGGCAGAGGCCTCTCTGGGTCTTTAGACGGTGCCGATGTAGATGTAGATGTAGTGGTTTCTTCACATGGAGCCCTGAGGGCGTCTCTGGCTGCAGGACCAATGCAGGGCGGTGCTGTGGGTTCCCTCCAGAACCAGGAGACGGAAGGAAAAGGTTTCAGTGAAGATGGTGGCAGTTTTCCTGAAGTCCTGGCTTGGTCCACATAGTCATCCCACAGAGGTGGCCAAGATGACACACTTTCTCTGTGTAACAGAATTGGTGAGAACTTTTATCACTAAGGGGTAACCTGAAAGTCTGTGGGGCAATAGTTTTTGCTATGCAGCTGGCCTCTTTATGATACTTGGTCATAGTATTTTGCATGAATAATATTTTCTCTTATTTAAGGACTTCAGAAAGTGCAAGTGAAATGTTTAAACTTGTCTAGTCAAACGGTGTTCAGTAATTGATGCTATGTCCCTATATCCTGCTTATTAAGCAAAGGATTTAGTGATAACATATAGAGATATAACACGGTCCACTGAAACTAAAAAATACAAAGGGTCAGAACCAGAAAAATGTTAAATAATTCAGGATTGATTGAGAAAACAGGCCACACAAATCTATATTGGTTAAAAATAATTGAGCTAAAATTTTGACTTTGTGTTGACTATCAGGCAAATGTGATTCTTTCTTAGTTTAAAATAAATGATTACAAAGTACAAAATTGATTTAGCAATAGCTTTTGGAGGTAAGATTATCTATGTATATGAATATGTGCATATAATAAACATGTGCACATGCACACACCTGTAAACATTCATGACAGTTTCTTTAAAATATGTGCATGTGTGTGGCAGAAGGAGGGCTTGCACCGTAGGATTGGAAAAATTAATGACACTTTTCATAGCAGACTGTTCTACAGTGAGACCCACAGTAGGCGGATGGAGGACACAGCCGGGCTTGGCACGGTGGCACACAGCGTTCTCACCAATTCCCGGTCACAGCCAGCCTCCAGGAGCAGGGACAGCTGGTGCTCACCCTCCAGGAGAGAGGGACTGTCAGCTCCATCCCACTGGAGTCTCCAGCAGGCTGTTAGCGAGTATCTGCAGCTTTTGGTGTCTAGAAAGTCTAGAAAGTGTGCAGATCTTGAGGGAGCAGCTCCCCTATGAACTTGTCAATAAACAGGGATTAAGATGCACCTGAATAAGGTCTGCAGTGAGGTATTCAGAAGCAGTTATTGGATGATCGCCTGGGGTCCACACTCAGAGTGTAAATAAACTTGTGATTTCTGTGCTCCAGGCTGGCCTTAGGTCATCTTCACCGCATCAAAATTACCTGTTAGGAGAGAACTGTGGGTGTTTCCCACAGCTGCCTAGTGAGATGAGCTGCCTGTGTTACACGGTTCCCTCTCATTTCTCCTTTGACCCTAACTAATCTGTGAGGGGCTGGAATGCTAAGCCACGCTTGCTTTTTTGATATCGAGTCCTATAGATTCATCAAATTAACTATGTAAGCGTCCTAAACTTTCTATGCTCTCAAGAAAGAGACTGGGGAGTGGGCAGTATGGACAAAGGAGTTTGCAGTCAGGCAAGAAGGAAATGCACATCACAAAGTATTGAAAGAGGCAGAAAGAAGAAGAAGTCAATTTCTAAGTGTCAGCTAAGGCTCAGATATTACTGGCAAGGAGGTATTGTTTTAGCTATGATGACCAGGGGCTATTTCCTGAAGAGAAAACGTTAGTTTTCGCAGAATGGGAGGCGGGAAGTCGCATGTAAAGATCCAGTGCGGGTGAGTGCTGTGGGGTAGATGCTAGGTGGTGCCTCCTGTGCCCACAGCCAGGCCGGAGGTGTGCTGGTACTGTCTGGCCATGGCAAGGGCTGTCCAGGTGGGGTGGAGATCAGACTGTGAGCTCTGCCTTGGCTCTGCGGGGGGCTCCCAGGTGTTGGAGGGAAGGCAAAGGTGGACAGGAGATCACACCAGCCCCAGCCATGGGCCCTGCACTGTGCACAGGCTGGCTTTAGTGGGGGGATTACCAGAGGGGACTTGTGGGTTCTGGTGTTTATGTGTTTTCCTGTTGTGCTTGCTTTTCTAAGAGGGCAGGATTTTGTCTTGGCCTACGGTCTGTCACCCTTCTCTGTGTCTCTCTCTGTGCCAACTTTTTCTTTTCTTTTTTTTTTTTTTTAAGTATGGAATGCTTCACAAATTTGCATGTCATCCTTGCGCAGGGGCCATACTAATCTCTGTATCATTCCAATTTTAGTATATGTGCTCTGGAAGCTAGCAGTTTGCCAACTTTCTAAGCCAGGCCATTCCCTAGTTTGTATTTATATCATTTTCCTCTGTATTCTTTTTTTTTTTGAGATGTAGGCCTACCCCTAAGTGAACTGTTTGTTTCTAAGGCTGAGCCGCGTGCATGTGTTGCCTGTTTTCGAGCTGCCTTGTGACCCATCTCTCAGCCTCGCCTTGGCCAGGCCAAGTACTCTGGATGCTGGAAATGCACACATTGGATGCTGTTGAGTCACAGACCAACATTTCTGTCTTCACTGCATCATGCAAATGATTTTACCAAGTGAGTCAGGGACTCCGGCCAGCTTGGTCCTGGGGTCAGAAAGTTCTCCTGAGGTGAATGTTGGCCATAGGAAGAGGCTGCATCCTTACCAGTTTATGGGATTTGTGGTGCCAGCTAGGAGGTGATGTGCCATGGGTTCATGGTACCCCGACTCTGATCCTCAGACCTGCTCTGCTCAGGAGCCTCTGCCACCTCCTGAACATGTCCAGCACACGCCTGGACATCTCTGACAGCAGTCGCCAGCTTCTGTCTGCTCATTCAGTGATGGTAGGTTTTTGAAAGTGGACATGATGGTACAGAACAATAATGGAGTTTAAATTTTATCTGTGTCAGTGGCCCTTGGTGCCTGTGAGTTGTCTGACCTCACCTGCTGACCATCACTTGCTGTCTCTCCCAGGACGGCCACACACCCCAAAGGCACTAACAGCAGCTAGGTCCTCGGCTGCCTTTTCTTTCTCTTTCTCACACCCAGTAAATCGGGATCAAATCTTTCTGTTCAGGCAAACTCTGCAGATGTGCCCAGTTTCCCTAAGGTCTCTCAGCATCAGCATCCTCATGTACGCTGTGGGGCCAAGAACCCATGCCTTCCCGGGGGTTGTCCTTAGGGTTAGGCAGCATCCTTCCTGCCTGGCCTGGCACAGTGGGCAGAATAATGGCGGTTATTGCCCACCACTAGCTGCCCAGTCCAGTTTCCCAGCTCTCCAATCACCCCTGTTCCCACTGCCTACTTTTGCAACTTCTTAGTCTTGTTACCTAGGTCATATTGGTTAGGTGAGATGTGCTCACTCGCAAGGCTCCCTTTGTGTGCTGAAGAGCAACCTTGTCCGAGCCTCGATTTCCCATACATTCAACGGCTTTCCATGCGGACAGTGGATGGTGGCGGGCAAACTGCTGCCAGCCTGAGTGAAGTTGCCTGTGTCTCACGCATCGAGCGTCTGCTGTACCTTGGCTGTCTGTTACTTGGCATGGCTGTCAGCTCTGGTGAGACCTACTTAATGCAGTCCTCAAATGTGTTTGTGTTTGGAGCTACTCGGCCCGCCTGGTGCTGTTTGAAGCATGGAGGTCTCCCTGTTACTGGTGCTCCTGCTTCATCAGAAACGGAAGTCCCAGCGCCGTGAGGCCCACCGCGGGAGAGCTGGCATGCGAGTAGATCCTGTGGCAACCTGGACATCGGCAGTACGCTGATTCAAACCATTCCCCTTATAGAAGCTTACAGTTATTAAGGACTTGCTCAAAGGAGCTCAAGCAAAGGTGGTGATCTCAAGCCCTGACCTTCAAAAAATGAACCACGCAGTGCTCCAAACGCTGATATTAAATGCAAATTTCAGGACTTAGGGACAAATTGTCCGAGATCTGATCGGCATGACGCCAAGAATGCGCAGACACAGACAGCTGGAGACGTGTGGCAGCTTTCTCCTCCCGTGCGCACGTGTGGTGCGTGGGGAGCCAGGCTCGGTGGCCTCAGCACAGCCGAGGGAAATGCCAAGTGGCCCCGACAGTTGCCACACTGTTTTCATCGTCTCCGTCTCCTCACTTCTATTTCCTTGCTTCTTGAGCAGCCTGATGAAATCTCTTCAGCTAACTGGGATTGAAATTTGATGAGTGCCAAGATGCTTTGATGAAATCTGGTGTAATTATCTTAAACCCAATTTCATTTGGCTTTAGTGCTGGCGTTTTCCATATTGAGAAAATTAGTGCCTTTGTCTGCTACTGGGGCTAGGAGTGTGTGAGAAACAAAGATACCTCAAACAAAAAAGCCAAGGTTTAAGTTCACTTAATACCTTTGCTTAAAACTAAATTACCCACAAATTCTAACTTTTTGTGCTTAGCATCTATTCCTTTTAACAGTGCAAAGTCCGAATGAATCAAAACTACTCTCAAAGTAAATGGCCTGTTGACCAGAAAAAAAAAAAAAAAAACACCTTTGGTGTCCTGTCACCTGAATTTTCCTAACAGGGACAAAATAACCGCATTATTTTGAATTCAAGACATTATTTCATTTTATCACTTTGAAAAAATTGAGTATAAAAAGTTTGATTTCAGGCTAGAAAGCCAGTACTACAAGAAAGTCAAAGTATTCTAAATTAAATCTTAATTTCTGGTACCTGTGATGTGAGGAAATTATGCTACCAAAACGATCTAATTGTGTGATGCTGCTGCATCTCATAGGCCAGAGATTTGAGTGTTAGATTATGGCACTGCAAATAGGGTTTGCACAGTGTTCACATAGCCTGAAATAAGACCTTCACCTCTCCAGCCTGCAGCTTCAAGCTGTCCCCATGGCTCCTAAGTCTAGCTTGATGATCCCTGCTTCCAACTGAAGTGTGGAATTGGAGCGGGATCCTGCCTTTGGAATCACTGTTTGCAGGTTCCCGGATGCTTACTTAGAGATTCTTCTCTGTTTGTCTTAGCTTCTGACCTACATTAATTCCCTGAAGTTCATTCTGAGAGTTAACCCTGAGGCGTGGCCCAGAGCATCCCCAATCTAAAGCTTTCACAGATGGTGGTGGTTTAATCAGAGGCAGATTATTGGTGTCAGATCATCGAAGGCAGGCCGTGCTCCTGTGAACAAGCCATCTACCCCGAGTTGCAAAATATGTGTCTGTATTATTTGGTTCAAATGTCTTTCTTTTTGCCTGGTTGTTCCTTGGTAAGTTTTCAGTGGTGACTAATCATTAATCACCAACTATAAGAATTGTTCAATCAAAAATTACTTTAAATGACACTGTTACCAAGTTCTGCTGCAAAACCGAGCAGCTTTCTGTGTCAAATGGAAAGAAATCAGCAAAGTGCTGACTACCCACTGGTGAGGCTCCAGGGCCCCCATACCCATAGAAATGGACGTTTATGAGTGGTCTCAAAGTGGTGACTTTACATGTTAAGTGATCTATGGTGGTTTTTATTTATATTTAGTGAAATGTGCAGCCAAGCCTCAGATTCTACAGATAAGGCTCCAACACACAACATAAAAATAACTCATTATGTACAATATACTTGGATTACCTTTGGATGGATGACTTCAGAATTTACTTATTATAAGGATTTTTTAAATCACTTATTAGGCTGTTGTGATTATCATAATCTAACCAAGGATCTAAGCAGACTGTTGGGAGATTGCACCTATAGACCTTTCTGTGGTTGGATTTAGGCGGAAGCTACCACAGGAGATGATTTCTGTGTTGGGGTGGCTTCTGTCTGATGTGTCCTTCTGAGCTTTGGTTTTGGATTTTCACTGTGGTTTGCTTTAGGGCCCAGAAGAATCTCCAATGCTTATTCTAAAATCTGGAAATCATTGCTGTCTTTTTGGTATAAGGGTTCCAGGATCCACAATTTCGAGAGAAACGAGAAGAATACGCATTTTTGGGGCAAGACACATAGGTTTCCAATATAGTAAGTATCTTAACCCTCAGCTGAGCTGACGAAGTGCTTCTGAATTTGAAGCAATGTCTGAAATTAGAGCAACAACCAGACGCCACCAGCGGGAGCACAGACCCTAGGAAAATACTGCTGCCCAGAGGTGAGGGCCAGGGAGGCCGGAACTGCGCCTTCCAGGACCCCAAGTCGGGCAGCCACGGCTGGTGCTCGACGGTGCACTGCTTGACTGCCAGTCCTCTTCCCTGAACGCAGAGGAAGTGAACATTCTTTCTCAGCTGAGCTGAGCTCCGAGGAGGCTGCTTGCAGGAGTCCGGAGTGTGCCCTTGAAGGGGCTTTCAGGATGCTACATGGCCCCAGGCTGAGGAGCTCCACAGAGCCCTTCTCTCCCGAATGGAGGCGTTCCTAAGAGAAACAGACAATCTGACTTTTTAATTAGAAAGCGGCTCGGGCCCTCACCACCCTCTCTTCTCTTGAGACCTCCTAAACCAGAATCTAGGGTAGCTTTACTGGTGTTTTTCTTTTTTAAAACATGCAATAAAAATGTGGAACTGCAGCCAGGGGAGGAATAGAGAGTGACGGGCTCTGTCTCCAGGGGCTGATAACAGGATTAGAGCTTTGTAGAAATAATTTGCATTTCTGTTAGAAAACATCCTTATCTTGGCTCAAGTTATGGAGCCCGATGTTTTACTCTTCAAGCTCCTGTTAGGAAAAATCCAGTACTTTGTCTGCTAAGACTACATGAGCATGCGTGTGATCCCTGAGAGCCACCCTCAGTGCTGGAGGCAGGAGGGAGGCTGGCAGGAGGGGTCCACTGAGACAGTTGGCGTTCCCTGAGCTGTGGAGGTGACCTTGAGGACAATGTCACGTGAGAGAGCAAAGCCCTGTGGTTGCAGGGGCTCTGCTGACCTGAGGAAGACCTAAGTGCACCTCGCAGGGGCCTGCTCAGTGCCACCTCTGCTCTGGGCATGCTGTTAAGCATGTAAGACACAACAAGGCATTTTGTTTGTGAAACAGCCCCAGAAAATTAACTATTTCCTGTCTTCCAAAGCTAGTAGCACACACCAGATTTTGAGACTGTTGGTAATGTTTTTCAATCAGCCTCAACCATGTTAGGTTGGGTCAGATTGGCGGCCAGCAGCCCAAGCCTAAGGCCCAGAAGTTTGCATTTGGGGCCAGGACTTCCTGCCTTTGCTCACTGCAGTGCTTTCCTCTCGAAGACAGCAGAATCCATGTGGCACCAGCACACGTGAACATGAGCTTCTCTTGAAGGAGCGTGGGCAGCATTCAAGGGTGACCAACTTGGTGCCCTCCTTGTATTCCTGTGGGTTGGGAAGGTGATG